TCTTTTGCAGAATTTTAATTTCTCTTTCTTGACAACTAAACCTTCCCCATCCATCTTGAAACATCCTGCTTTCCTACTGTCACCTTGTAATGTCCCCCGTAAATGGGATAATGTCAAATAGACCAGTCCCCTTTTTTTTTCTCTTTCAGGGATACTTCACTTACCAGGTCATTACCCTTCATAGTTATATTTAACTGTACAACAACTCCGTACAGAATAGGAGTCGGTCGTGTTTAAAAAATGTCTTTAATTAGTAACTAAGAAACTGGGGTAACTTGAGGTACCCGAGCGATGGCTAATACCTCTACCAGATGTATGAGTTGACAAATGGACTTGTTTCAATCTTAGAATTTCATAAAAAAAATCGATTTGAGATACGTTTTCAAGCAACAAACTGTACGAGCATCAGTCGACAGTCACGCTGGAATATAGAGGACCATTACCTGATCGAAGACAGGACATAGTGCTAAGATGAGTCCGAATTGGACATGCACATCTTACGCATAAATACTTACTGAAATCAGAAACTGCACCTCGGTGCATTTCTTCTGATCAAGTTACCCCCTCCCCCGGTAATTATTTTGGGAAGTTTTTATTTGCTTTCATTATAGTAACTTAGAAACTGAGGTACCTTGAGGTACCCGAGCGGTGGCTAACACCTCTACCAAACGTATGTGTTGACAATTGGACTCGTTTTAAGTTCAGAAGAACATAAAAAGAATCAAGATCGGCGTATAAACATTTCTGTAGATGGCTTTTGAACGTTATGTTCTGGACATGTTTATTCATCCGTATGTAGAAAAGAAACTTTAGGAAAACGTATGTATACACATATTTACGTCGAGGAAGGGGTTATTCAATTTCATGTTATAAAGGCATAGAGTAAATAAAAAAAAACTCTAATAATGTTGTCTTTATTCCAAATAGACGAGAACCAGGAAGGCTGTTTTTAGAGAGAGTATCAAAAGAGCAGAAGGCTACGTAAAGAAAACAAAGAAGAGTTTTATTAAATACTCATACATAGGATTTCAGAATAACCGAGAATTAGGAAGGCCGCTTTTAGAGAGAGTATCGAAGACAGCAGATTACGGAGAGTAAAGAAAGAAGAGGTTTATTAAATACTCAGACATAGAACGGAAAAACTGGAGTAAATCAACTACTCCTCAAATGATATTTTTTTTATATAAATTCAAAAAATGTAGCACAAGGCCAAATGTAGAAGAAGGCAGGTCATCATCTGTCTTAAACCTAGCTAGCCACAATCACTGACCGAAACAAATTATACAATATTCTTTGCACCAAATTACCATTCTTACTGCAGTCACCATTATACCTAAAGTCTATATGAAGTCCTAACTAGTCCCCATATGTATAATTTGTCTGCGTGTGGGTAGTACTCCTCAAATCCTACTCTAATGTAGCTACTTGTAATATTTATTAGTAGGAGCAGTACTTTGCCACGGTAGCAAAGAGCAGAAAGTAGACAGATATCAAAACAACGCATAAGTGATAAACATTCATAATTTGTTGGATATCATACATTAAGAGAGAATGATAATGGTAATTGTAATATTAACCGTTTCCCTATAAGGAAACATTTCGCATTTATTAACCGAACAGCGAGTACAGCTTTCGGTTGAAATTTATAAAATCTCTCCCTAAAACATTTTTTTCAGAAAAATGGGTTTATCAAATCCGGTATCTGTTATCCCTTATTGATGGGAGTTTCCTTCCTAACCTTTTGTTTGAAGTAACGTGGAACGTCAACATCTTGATTATGTCATTATTTTCTCTTCGAATTACATGTGATATCCATTTTAGTAGAGCAGTTGCATAGACCGATGTATGAAGGCCTGACAAATCAGTTCTTGTAATTGAACCGCTTGACTAACAACCCATATTTCAGTGCAGGCTTGTGCAGAACCGGTCACACTTTTCAGAGGAACTAGTAACAGCGAACTGGCGCACGTTGTGTCGCGAAGTTTACAAATGAGGTTTTAAATCCAGTGTTGTCCTTCTCTTTTTCTTGGAAGTAAGATGAATGCAAATGCATCCCTCATTCAAACAGAAACAGAAACAGTTGCGAAAATTACACCCGAAACGAAAGACGCCCCGCACCCACCAGAGAACTGACATCATTATCCACCTAAAGATGGGAGGGATGGGAAATTAAACCAAAAGAAAAAAAATAGGGACAATACTAAAAGGGACCAATGGGCATACTTACCCTGGCTAAGTTAACTAAAGAGAAGAAACTAAAACAAAAATGACCGATACTAAACTATTAAGGGTAGGGTTGCCAATGTTCAACCCAGCAAACGCAATATCCTCCTAACCGGCATCATTCACTCGGCTGAGACGCGCAAGACTCACCCACCTTTCGCCAAATTCCAATGGATGTAGTCGTTTCCTTTCCATCCTAATCTTAACTTTAAGCTGATACTTAAAGAACAGGATCAGTTGGGAAGAGGTAAACTTTTCGGCCCCATGGAATTCCTTCTGTCGCATAACCCCCAGTAAGCAAAGGAACACATAGTGCTCAGATTTAGTCAACGGCGGTACTATATTGCTACAGACGGAACTGGCCTCGAGGACAAAGAACTTTCCGCGCACCATGCGAACCATGACGCTATCTTGACCGGCCCGTACGTCCTGAGGAAAGATCCGGGACGAAATAACAAATCGGATCCCCAAAGATCCAAGTGCAGTTGGGAAGCTTCGCCACCGTTTATGGAATGCGAGAGGTATCAAATTGCACACCAAGATATGGGTTCATATATAGAACAGCCTTTTTGACCACACTGTTGTATGGCTCAGAATCGTGGACCCCATATAGGCCCCATATCAATCAGCTGGATGTCTTTCGCAAAAAAATGGTCTCAGCTGTGGCTATACTTTTCACGATAGGGTGTCCCATTGTGATCTTTTCGCAAAATGCAACATTGGTGGAATTGTGACTTTTCTGATGCAGGCACAATTTCGCTGGTCATGTTGCAAGGAGGAATAACAACAGAATACCTAAGGTCCTCATGTATAACCAGCTTAAGAATGACAGAACTAATTTCAACTCAGAACTAATTTCAACTCGATTTAAAAACCCTAACCATGACCCTAAACCTAACCCTTAATTCCGAGTTGAAATTAGTTCTGAGTTGAAATTAGTTCCGAGTTGAAATTAGTTCTGAGTTGAAATTAGATCCGAGTTGAAATTAGTTCCGAGTTGAAATTAGTTCCGAGTTGAAATTAGTTCGGAGTCGAAATTAGTTCTGAGTTGAAATTAATTCTGCACCCCGAGCTTGACAGTAGACAATGGACTGTTGCCTCAGATATATAGACAAGCTAAAGAGTAACCTCTCAGCAGTCAATGTGCCTCATACTAACTTTCGAGGAGGTTGCCCTTGATAGAAATAACTGAAGATATTTGTGCCAGAGTGGTATCAGAAAGTTTGAACTCAGTCATATTGACAGGCTATGAGTCGAAAGACAACGGCAAAAAGCGTCAGCAAATATTATTGTTGCTTTGTCCAGAGATCCTCGCTATTGCACACAAGATGTGGACTTGTATGCAGCTCACTGGCGAGGCTGAAGTGTCACATACAATACAAACATGAAAACTCAATGAGGTTGTCGGAACTTCATACGTTCAAAATCGACAGGGATATATATATATATATATATATATATATATATATATATATATAATATAAAGAAAGAACAGTAAGATATATAATTCAGGTTTTGATAATTTTTTCAGATGGAACTTGCTTTAATTTAATTCCTTCATTTTTGAAACAGGGTTAGAACTGTTGCCATCAATTAATTTATAATATATATATATATATATATATATATATATAGAACCACTTTAAGTTCCTTATTTCCTGAACCCTTTTTACTCTGGATATATATATATATATATATATATATATATATATATATATATATATGAGGTGCCCGAGAACATATATTATGTGTATTTAGGAAAATTTCACCATCTTTTCATTCATACTGGTGTTTCATTAAATAATATAGACAAGGCTATAGAACCCAGTCTGTCTATTTATTTTATATATATAAAAAATTTTCGTAACGTTTCATTGATAAGTTTAAATAACTATTTATCGTTGTAAAACGAAGAAAGAAATTTCGTTGAACAATATTGATTCAATATTGATCCATATTTTTAATACAATCTAAGCTTTCGGCTTACATAAGCCATTATCAAAGATGTCAGTTACAACATATTAAGCAATTTTTATATATATATATATATATATATATATATGTACGTAAAAATGTTACTACCAGACGTACAGATGGACTCGTTCTTGCTCTAATATATAAACGGTGTTCTCAAATATTTTTGTTTGGCGCAAAATTAAGTTTAATATTTATATTACTTACAGTCGGACTAATTTCCTCATTTTTGTTGTTATTATCACAATGTATCGGCCGTTATTCTCTCCGGCCTTCTTTCGGTGTCTGTCGATCAGTGAATTTTAAACTTTATTTAATTATAGATTGTTTACGTTCTCCGGTCTATGTCAAGGGATACCTCATCAGTTTTTTTTTCAGGGTGGAGTGTATTTGTTTTGCTTTGTTTTTGATTTCTGCTAATTTTTTCTTTAGTTTTTTTAGAGTTTTTTGTTTTATTTTTTTATGTTTATTCTTATTTTGTTTAGTCTGTTTATTTTGTTTGTTTTGTGTTTTGATGTTTCTTTAGTTTTTGACGGTTTTTCTTTCATTTTTTATATTTTTAGTTATTTTCTTTAGTTTTTTGTTTTTGTTTTTTTTTATGTTTGAGGTTTTGTGTTTTATTTTGCTTTTTGTTTTTTGGTGTTATTTGTTTTATGTTTTTCTTTTTTGTTTTGTTTTTTCTTTTTTTTGTTTTGTTTATATAAAAATCGGCTCTAAAAAAGAAAATAAAAATTTTAATCAGTCGACAACATTTGTACTGTTGCGTTTTTTTGTATTTTTATTTCTTTCTTTTATTTATTTAGGTATGACAAGATTTTCCAAAGACGTCGAAAGCATGATAGGATTTCAACCATCCATCTTCTGGAAAGTTTGTTGGACGCTCCTCTGTCCGATTTTTGTTTTCGTACGTATCTCCTTCACCAACACCCCACCACACACATTGATATATATATATATATATATATATATATATATATGCGTATATTTTGGCAGCATGTTTTTATTGAGATATGTTTCGTTGAATAATTTATACATGCTCTGTCTACTTATTTTCAATTGGATCCTGTCATATTCACGGATAAGTTTATTGGTGCCGTTATTGAAGAACAACAGAAAATCACCGTGTTGATACATATTTCTTTTATTCCAAGTACTTTCGACATAGCACAATGTCATCATCAGGATATTGTTTATTGCGAGACAACTATTGCAGTGTACATTATTATCGAAGACTCCGCATTCCTCACTCCACAAGTAAGAAATTTAACTTTCAGATGAACGCACCAATTTTGTCTTTGTTGTATCCTTAAAGAGCCTACAAACAAACAAAGGTGGCAGGAGAGTGAAAGGAACAGCAACAAGGGCGTAGATTAAAGAAAGAGAGGTTTATTGTAAAAGAGAATACACTACTGAGAGACAGGGAATCGGTTCGCAGGCTAGTAATTCCCGGAGCAAATCCGCCAGGTATATTCTGTACTTACTACTGATATAGTCAGTCCACATAGTCGATAGGTAATGTGAGACATCCGATTGCAACATAGTCTGGCGTTTCGGCTATATATTTTTAGATTCTTGATTAAAATCCAAAGAAGAATTTGCAACGTCATTTTCAAATTGTCATTCCCGACTTGGAAGTCGGCTCCAGTACCTTCCCACCATTGTAATGTAGCATGTGCCTTTTCCATAAATATCTTCATGGTAATTGTGCTGATGAGCTTTCCTCTTTGGTACCTCAACCTTATGAATTTAAATGCAGTGTTAGATTGGTAGCTAGGTTTCATCATTTTACAGTTGAAATTGCTAGATGTAACGAATTCTGGTCTAAGTTTCTAATTATATAATTATGAATAAAAATTTGTCTACATTTAAAAACCCATTGCAACTAAATCGTGAATTTTGCCACTTGATATTTTTTTTTGAATATCTGATATATATTTAGAGATCCCAAAGAAAAATCTGCAATATCATTGGCCCTACCCTGACATCTTGGCTCCAGTCACTTTCCTGCCAATGTAACATAGTTTCTCTGTGCCTTTTCTCAATACTTTCATGGTAATTATTCTGTTGAACTCTCCTCTATGGAACCTAGAGTCTATAAATTTAAGTGCAGTACTAGATTGGCAGCAAGGTCTCATCATTTTAGAGTTGGAATGGTAAGATGTAACTGATGTAAGTTCTTTGCTGATAGCTTCTTTTCTTACACTTCTCACTTGTGGGACTCTCTTTTTACTTCCCAGTCAACTTTGATCTTCAAAAATTTAAATGCAATGTCAATCGTTCTTGTGTCTTCTTAATACTTGTTCTTTTATTGTTCCCTTTGCTTCATAATATTTTTCTTTTCTTATATTCTTTCACACTCATTAACCCCAGAGTCTTTGTAGCTTTCTTGCCTTACTTGTGGTAAAGTGATTAAAATAAATTACAGTTAATGGTCGTCTATACAGAATATGAATGCCGTTCGATGGCACATTACTGTCACATTCACAACGTTTCGGTCATTGTGTGCTCAGGACTTCTTCAGGATCTGGCACCAAGGCAAGCGCAACCGACTGTTGCGGGGGATGCCGGCAATTTTTGTCCCTAGCCCGGGGGTACGCGCTCGGGTTCCCCACCTTAAAAAAAACCTTGTGTCACAATTCGTCTTAGTAGGATGGCTGAGTAAATAGCTAGTGTGTAAACCTCACTTTGGAGCGGCTTGTAACACCTTATTTATCATCTCTCAGTTGCGTCTCTGTCTTTGGGCAGAGTTCACTCAGGGGCGAATCCGTCAAAGGTAAGAGTCACAAATGAGGAAAATTATACTGAGAGGTACCCAGCCCTGGGGAAGAGCTTCCCCAGGCCGCTCCCTCTCATTGCACTAGAGAAAGGGATCGTTGCTCGCACCGAGGCCAGCTCAACCGACGGTTGCGGTAGTTGCGTGCAATTTTTGTTCCTAGCCCGGGTGTACGCGCTCGGGTTCCCCACCTTAAAAACTGACTTTGTGTTACAACTCGTTTCAGTGGGGAGACTACTTTGTGTATGTAGATACATGTGTATCTACATATAAAAGAAGTTTTTTTTTTACATAAATAAAAAGGTTGTCAGAGCCGGGGTTGGTAGCGTGGGCATTATCTATAAAAACCTCCCATGGCATGCTTCTTAAATAGAATCAGTCAACTAAGTTCATCTCCAAACTGGAGTAGATAGAGCTCGTTAGACCGAAAAGAAAACTCATGTAGGAAAAGGAAAACTCTGATTGTAAACTTCCGTTGCCTTGCGGTTATATCCAAACACAAAAACATCTATGGAAAAAAATCCAAACAGAAAAACCGGAATTGAGCCTCGAAGGCCGTTGGATGACAACTTTGTAGCAACTCCAGCAGCCAAGACGATATTGTATTCCTTTTGATCTTGTCGGTACGGCCGAGGGAAGGTCCATGTGGTCTGGGCATTACACGGCCTCCAAATACGATAGATCAGGCCCCTGGAGAGGTGACACCTGTTTGACTACCAGAGGAAGGAATTTTAACCAAACAGGATATTACCATTATCTTACGATATAAAAGGATAACTACATAAATAATTTCTCTAGACTGGCCTATGAAAATTAGATGATGTATTGATATTTAATATTTGTATTTCCATCGAGCGAAAAGACTTTGGTATATACTTCTTTTAATCAGTTCAAAATTTCATAAACAAAAATATTTTAATTACGTGTGATACGTAGGGTTTTATCAATCGATTTTATGCTACAAATTTTGTAACTCAGTCTTCTTTTAATTCGAACAGTAAATAATCCTAAACGACTTATTCGTATTTAATATTCTAGAGGGATAGATATATTCAGTTCATTCTACAACGGGGTACAAGTCCTGTAGTCTGACATTCCGTTAATCCAACCAAAATGTGAATAAAACGTTTTATTCAGATTTACAATTGTCTTTTATTTTTATCAATCTGCGTTACTTAGAAACGTGGTAAGTGTATAATAAGTGGATCAGAATTGAACAAGTGTTCATACTTTTGCCGCCGTTGTAAATAACTATATTGAACGTAATTCTGTCTCAAGTAGATTGATCTTTTTTTCGTCTCTTTTTTTTTTTTTTATCTGCAGGGAATCTTTATCATGTCGCTCTACGGTTACAGTGGACTCAAGTTAGGGAATTACATTTTCCCAAAATGGGTTGAAAGAATCGGTTGGTTTGTGTCATTCACCTCAATTGCCTGTATCCCAACATATATGATCTACATCGTCATCATCACAGCCTGTTCTCCTAAAAAGGTAAGTGAAATGCATGATTGAGACGCTAAAACGAACTGCTCGATCATATAATATATTCGAAACTGTATTTAATTTCATATTCTACACAACCTTGAATTTTGGCTGTATATATATGTATATATGTATATATATATATATACGCACGCAACGATACCAGCACGTTATAAATGCCATGCTCCATCACGTAACCGCCGTTAGATGAAAAGAAGAACTAGGCATTATTAGGTAGCTGTATCTATTTGTTGCCACTTAAGTTTATCGTTATTTCGATAGCACAATATATATATATATATATATTAAAGACATTTTTATGTTTAACGTTCTTTTTATAGATACAAGTATTTAAGTAAATGCTCTGTTTATAATAAACAGTATTAAATAACATTTACCGGCCTGAATGTCCGAGAAATTTTCATAGAAAATATTCGTTCTTTGACGATTCGAACCTGTATCCTATACGGAACCGTCATTTACGCTGACGTGCGTTCGGTAGACAAGGTCGAATTTACTGCTTATAAAGTTCTTTGTGGCCGATCGGTAAGGCACGTCAGCGTAAATGACGGTTCCGTATAGGATGCAGGTTCGAATCCTGTCAAAGAACGAATATTTTCTATGAAAATTTCTCGGATATTCAGGCCGGTAAATGTTATTTAATACTGTTTATTATAAACAGAGCATTTACTTAAATACTTGTATCTATAAAAGAACGTTAAACATAAAATGTTTCTTTAAATAAATTGTCGGACTTGTCCATTCATTTCATTATATATATATATATATATATATATATATATATATATATATATATATATATATATACCCAAGTATAATTCAATAACCAACAATTAATATTCTTAAAAGAGTGCTCAATACAAAGTAGAGCAAATATAATTATTTAATTAAAAATTATAACATAAATATGTTATAAAATCACTACAAAAATAGCCATTTTGTTTCAACACCTCTGGTGTCTTATCAAGTGATTCAACATCATCACATGACAAGACACCAGGTGTGTTAAAATAAGATGACTATTTTTGTAGTGATTTTATAATATATTTATGTTATAATTTTTAAATAGATAATTATATATATATATATATATATATATATATATATATATATATATAGAAGCAGTTAAGAAGGATGTTAAACATTTTACAATCTACAATATTTCGACACTTAGGAAAGATGCGGAAAGTCGGTAAGCCGAGTGTTTTCGTTCCGCACGTTCTTATTGAAAAGAAAAAGTCTCCTTTCACAAAAGAGAAATTGTAGCGATATAAATGTCAGCCGATATCTTGTTAAATGGAATACATCAGAGCTGTCACAAAAATAATTTCAGAGATTTATTTGCCGTGATAATTATCAGCTAATTGAAGTGATCCGCACAAATAACATGCAAACGACCCGGACAAAGCAGGTCACCGAATTAAGATAAATTACTTTTTTATACAAAGATGACAAAACAAGGAGCAATGTTCTAGTCTATAAGACAGTGGTCACTACCAGCAGAACTCAAACAAAGACCGATAAGACCCATTGAGAGCGACGCGAACGGGAAGACACGTTCATTATACTGTCCACCAACCCCCTCACCTCGCTCCATCTCTGCTTGGCTCGTTTATAGTAGTAGGTTACAACCAGAAAATAAAAGTTCCTGTTTCGAAAGTCTCATGGTTTTAATTCGTGGGTGACGATCTGGCCAAAGGGTTTATTTTTTAGGCCACAAGTGCATGCATGTATTCTTTTCTGCCGATTATGAATGCCATCTGGAATAATCGTGCCGGTGGGATATTTTTCACATCAGAAAAGGTATCAGGCTGTAACAAAACTTCCAAAGCTTCTGCAGATAAATTTATAGTGCTTAAATTTGTTTGAATTTTATATAAGTGTTTGCATATATACACAAGAGGTAAAATTTATTTATCCAAATATGCAAAATTAGCCTTAGAGAAACAATTCAGTGTAGTCTCAAACTTTTGATCGCTAGTGTGCCTATATATATATATATATATATATATATATATATATAGAGAGAGAGAGAGAGAGAGAGAGAGAGATTTTCAATAAAATTAAGTTATAGTTGTATTGATAATCTAGAAAAAATATTTAAAACGCATAATAAAATTTTAAATAAACACTTAAAGTTTAATAGAAATAATAGTAATTGCAAAATCAATAATTTCGATAATGAATAATGTAATTGTAGAAACTCCATAAAGTGTCCATTGGAAAATAAATGCCTTACTGAATCTATTGGTTATCAATGCACAATTTCATCGACTGAAAACCCAGGTATTGAGAAATTTTATATTGGTGGCACAAAAAACTCTTTTAAGTTAAGAAGGTACCAACATATTTTTCCTTTAATAACAGTATGTGCCATAATCGAACATCCCTATCTAAATATTTTTGGTGTTTAAAAGAAATCAATAAAACACCCACAGTAATATGGGAAATATTTTTAAAAAACGAGAATTTGTAAGTCCTTAAATGACCCATGCCTCCTGTGTCTACATGAAAAGCTACACATAATTACGTTTCCTAAAATAATGATCTATTAAATCAGCGAAATGAACTTACCGTCATATGTAGACATTGTAAAATGTTCACGTTAAAATATAGTTAATGAATTTTTATAAAAAATCTATGTATTACAATTATATATCCATTATTTTATTATATATAATGGTACATGCAACATTGACTTAATTCCTTGAGTTTTTAATTTTAAAATTGCCATGTATTGAATAAAATTAGAATTGTATTTTAAGCTCAAAATTATATTAAAATGATTTAATCATACTAGTGGCCCCTTTAAGATAGATCTAAAGTATGTGAAGTAATATTTTTTAAATAAAACAAAAAAAATCAACCTATTGTTAGAGATATACATATCTTTCAGAATATTTCTTCGTAACTTAAATGTATATTCTTAACCGGAAGTATGTTGTCGAGTCGTAATATGACAGTTCCCCAAGACATGTATGAATGCTACACACACCGCCAACACCTAACGTATATTTTTAACTTTTCTGATTTAGTTTTGACCTTTCTTTCGATTAGTTAAATGAGACATACCCATAAGATTTTAAAATCAGGATCACCCAACTTATTGTTTTCTATTTTTAAATGTAAATCATTTTCCTCAAAAAGTTACCGAACATTGCCTGATGACAAGATAAAAATTTCAAGTTTCGAAACATAGAAATTTCCATGTCGCAATGTAAAATATTTTTAATAATAATATCATTAAAATATTATGCTCTACGTTTGTACTGATCACTTTAAAAAAAAAAAAAAAAAAAAAAAAAGTAAATGCTTGAGAACTGTGGATTTCTTAATCTGTTATTTTCTTATATATATATATATATATATATATATATATATATATATATATATATATATATATATATATATTACGATAAACGTGCAATCAATTTACAAATACATGAATTATTCACACAAAAACTAATGCAAAGGTTAATGATTTAAATGGTGAGACATCCATCATCGCAAACAATTCAAATAATATACAAAAACCTCCGTATCCGTTATGAATGAAATGATCCTTGTTTATATAAATTTCTGTCGTATTAGTTCTTATTTTTGCTACAAGCTTTCGTCTGTTCCTACAGACATCTTCAGGTATAGAATAGATGTTGTTCTTGTTTTTTCTCTTAGTAATAAGAGGACAACGAAAATATATGTATTGTTGTATCCGAAAATGCTATTGAAAATGAGTTATTGTTTTTGGAGCGCGCAGTAGCAACGCTGAGTTTGATTTTAAATTTTTAAAGGTTGTGCGTTCATATAAAATATGGTGATGAACAAATATTTTACTGGTAAATTTTTCTGTCAAAGTAGCATGAACTATATTGTTCAATAATTACAGTAATGTCGCACTTATTATCCAAAAGTCGCACTTGGATCAGTTATTTAAATTACGATAAACGTGCAATCAATTTACAAATACATGAATTATTCACACAAAAACTAATGCAAAGGTTAATAATTTAAATGGCGAGACATCCATCATCATTTTTGTATATTATTTGAATTGTTTGCGATGATGGATGTCTCGCCATTTAAATTATTAACCTTTGCATTAGTTTTTGTGTGAATAATTCATGTATATATATATATATATATATATATATATATATATATATATATAAATAGAAAATTCTTATTAAATCCAAGGTTATTTTCACAAAAAGTTTCGAACAACGAGAAATCAAACAGAGATCGGATTTTTACTAACAATTTCATCTACAAACAAGATTTTCCCCAGCCTCAAAATCTACTGTTGGTGAGTCTCCACCGTTTCTCTGTCTATTTCTCACTTCCGCTGATCCGTAATCTCTGTGTTTCATTTCTGTCATGTGGTTAATAATTAATAAATGGTGTTCGTACTGATCACACCGGTACGCTTTTCGTTTGTCTTTGTTCTAATAACCAACTTATCTACTATATATATATATATATATATATATATATATATATATATATATGGGAGTGGCAAAAGTAGGTATACAGTAATGAAAAATAAAACGTATTGTATCGATTATAAAATATATATCAATAATAATATATCAATTAACCGCATACCTACATTTGCAACTAACTCAAGAATTAAAAATATAATAATAATAATAATAATATTCTTGCTCTTATACATAAATACTTGTATAAGAAAAATAAAATCCTTGCATTTGCCTTGATAAAATCCCACAGAGAACGAAACGCGTTGGATAAGATAAGTTTTCCTCTTGTTTTTTTTATTATATATATATATATATATATATATATATATATATATAATACATAAAAGGTTAATAGTCAGAGTTGAATCAGACCAGGAAACAGTAGTATTAAAAAGTTCTTAATACATGTGTAAAAAAGCACAAGTATTTATTTATTTTTCAAAAATAACATAGCGTTCATTAGTTTTTGTTTTCTTTTTTTTTTTGTTGTTGTTTTTTTTTTAACTAAAGCGTTGGGAGGTCAACTAAAAAATCGCCCGATGATGCCGTAAGGTTGAAACCAAGGTAGCAGATTCAACTAATCTCCTGATTTTTTAAAGTGTATATATATATATATATATATATATATATATATATATATATATATATATATATATATATATATATATATATATATATAAGATTTCGCAGTAACAGAACTCCATTTTTCCTGGAATTTCCGATTAGAAAGCGCTTTAAGTGAAGGACTACAGACATAAAGATATAACCCGTCGCAGTTTTCTAAATGGCGGAACTGAATTTCGCGTTGTGTACCGCAGTGTTTGCTTATATCGAATTGTTAACTGTATATTTTTAAATCACTTCTTTTTCTTTTTATTCCGTGTAGGACTGGTGGGCTCTAATTGGACGCGGCAATTCTTCGTCAAATTTGCAGAATTCCGGTCGAAATGTCGTTCCCATGGAACTTAAGGAGACCAGAAACGGACAGCCACCGTCGCAGAGTCAATCACAGCCACCGCCGCCACCAACTGAACTCTGACATCACCAGCTTTGCCAAGTCTTTATCGTCACCTCCAACCACCATATCCACTGTTGTCACCATTGCCTCCCCCCCACCCCACCCTTTGTATTCATCAAGCACACAAAAATTGAGAGAATTCACTTTACCGCTCATCAATCGGACGGGTATAGCTGGAGTTGAAGAAAACCCCGTCTGTCAGAAGGAAAGAGTTAAGTCCCCTTATTACCTGGTTAGTGTTGTCCAATAAAAACATGAATTCATCCTCACAGAACAGACGTTCCTTTTCTTTCTTTAGTTATATATCGACATTAGTAATATCAAAAGGACAGTTTTTCCCATGACACCGCTTTTTTAACTGCCTTCACTCTTTGGCAATGTTTATTGTTTTTAAAAGCAATGATTAGAAGATTGCCTCACTGTGACTTTTTTTTTTTATAAATTCTTTCATGTTAAATGTTCTGATAAGTTCTTCACTATGGTACCTAGATTGAGCGGCGAGATCATATCAATTCACAGTTGAGCAGGCCAAATGTAACTGTTTCGGTACTTTCACATTGTCGCTGAAAAAAACAGCATGATAAAAAAAAGGGCCCCAAACTTAATAAAACAAAGTTTTATCGTCAAAATGTTTGCTATTATTAAGAGGAAAGATCAAAGTATTTTTCATTATTATATCAAATTTTTAAATCCTTTCTAGCACATTCGAAATTTTGATTAAAAATCCAGTTGTTTTTTGTGCCAGCGGTCGACGTAATATTTACGAATAATGTTTTAGCGCCTTTTTTCCGGTGCAAAACACATTGATTTAGAAATTCCTGCAAAAATCAAATAATTGTCTGATTTTAATTAAACTTTCAGGACTTCTTCACAAATGAATGAAATTGTTTTCGAAATTATTTTTTAGAAAATCTTACTAATTTTTTCTTTTTTCTCTTTTTTTTTTTTTGCATATGTTGCCCTCACTTACATAATTTCATGAATTTTCGAGAAATTAAATTTCAATCTCAAAATCTGTTTTATTAATTGAAAGCAGAACTCCTTGGAGAATTTAAATCATCAGTTGTTTTTTGTTACCGACAATCTGCTCTGAATCGAAAAATAAAAAAATGCAATAAGACTATTTAATTATAAATAAGATTTATTACGGACATTATTTCCTTTAAAAAAATTTCGATAAATAATGAATTTTTACAAGAATTGTTTCCATTTTTTGAAAATTTTAAATTATAATAATTTATAATATTATAAATTGTTTAAAATTCTGCATTACTCCAATCCAGTAAAGTGATATTGTTATTAAGTGAAAACTATATTTACGAATCAAAAATTAAAAAGCTCAACAAGAGTCGTTTCCATCCAATATTTTTCCAAAAATACTTAATCTTTTTTAATGTATAAACATTCTCATTTTTGTAAGTATGGTAGTTCATACATGACATTATTCTTAAAACGTCACGTGTTTTAAGAGTTGTTCTACTCTACGAAAAATATGGCGGTCTGCAATTCTTTCCTTATTCATTTGTGTTTCATCGTGTTTACATCTTTGCAAATGATCACTTAAAAATTTTAAAAGTAAATTTTACTTATTTTAATTACTATTTTTAAATATTTTATATTAAATATATATATATATATATATATATATATATATATATATATTGTTTCGTATTGGCTTAAAATAACAAAAGTGTAAACAATTATGTAATTAATAATAAAAGTTAAAGTACTACAAAGATTTAATAAATGAAATAACTTTAACATTTAATAAACATAATGATAAGAATAATAAAGACTGAAATGAAAAATAAGATATTAAAAAATATAAATTAATAATGAATAAAATACCATAACATTTCATAAATTATTGTGTTGCCTCTTTCATGGTATTTAATTAATATCTTAGTTATTAAATTTTAAAATTAATTTAAGAAAATTTTATAGTATTTTAAATTTTATTATTTTTCAGAAAGCATCTTCAAACGTAAGGCTATAAAGCTAAATTAACTAAAATTCAATAAATATTAAATAATTGCCAAAAATGTTAATTTAAAAAAATGTCTAAGTAGTTAAACCTCCCATCACCCACAAAAAAAGTGTGCATTTAGATTTTATAAATTTATGTCAATTCTGGTCAACCATACTTAGCTGTCAATAAATCAATCAGCATATCAGAAAAACAAGACCCTTTAGTTAAGAAATGCTTGTATACTACATTTTATGCTGTAAGTAATATTTGTTTCAAATCAGATTAATTTAACTTTAAATTTGCTAACTTTCTTAAAATAACGTGTCACAAGTTTATATTTTATTTTTGTAAGCTTTTTAAAATCGAGAATTAAACTTTGTTTACAAATGTGTCAAAATATGTCAAAACGGCCGAATTTAAATGAGTTTTTGAAAGCTACAAAAAAAAAAGTTGAGATTCCAATCAATATCATTTCTGGTTGAAATACACCAGGGTATTTTGCGTACTCGAAATAATAAATTTAATCATTTAGCTTTCAATTAAAGCTAAAATGAAAGGTTCAAGAAAGCATTTTCATTCATAAAAATCCATTTTAAACCAAGGTATCGAAACTGAGTGGAGATACCTACGTAAGTTCTATGCTAACAGTTTCTTTTCTCGCACTCCTCGCTTGTGGAACTCCCTTCCGGCTCCATGCTTTCCAGCCAACTTTAATCTGCAAAAATTTAAATGCAATGCCAATCGCTATCTACTCTCCTCCTGATTGCTTTTTTCTCTTTCTACTCCTTACTAATGTTTCTCTTCCTAATTCCTCCACACCTTGTAACCCCTTTCGTCTTAGTGGCTGTATTGCCTTGCGTGAGGAGATACCGATTAAAAAAAAATAAAATAAAAATCTCAAAAGCCACTCAGGTTGTTCTAAAGGCGTAAAAAGACGAATGTAGCTCTTCTGGGCATTTGCAATGGAAATCGCGATAGAACAGCGAGAGGCGAGTAAGGATCCCATGACGACAATAAGGACTAAATATGTTGAAAGAAAAGATCTCATCAATTTACAGTTGACCTAGCTAGGTGTAGCCGTAACTTATAGGCTAACAGTTTCTTTTCTCGCACTCCTCGCTAGTGGTACTCAATTCCAGCTCCATGCTTTCTAGCCAACTTTAATCTGCAAGAATTTAAATGCAATGCCAATCGCTATCTACTGTCCTTCTGATTGCTCTTTTCTCTTTCTACTCATTACTAATGTTTCTGTTCCTAATTCCTCCTCAACTTGTAACCCCTTGTGTCTTAGTGGCTTTACTGCCTTGCTTGGGGTGATACTGATTAAAAAAATAGAATTGTAATAAAACCTAAACATATGATGAAAGTGAATGTATACATTTTTTCTTGGGAATTTACAACAAAAATATTAAATATTGTTTATTTATTAGATTGTTTATTTATAAGAATAATTTTATATTTACAACATTCTAAAAACTAATACAATTAAAACTAATTAAATGCAATATTTATCATTTACCAATAAAGAAATAAATGTTAAAACAATATTTAGGAATAAATTTATAAACATTTAGTAAATTATTAAAATACGTGAACCAACTATAGGGAAATCTTTATTATTTACCATTCTATAAAGTTCGAATCGATTGTCAATCTAGGTATGTTCATTTTTTTTTCGCTAAAAAAGTGGCACATCCTGATGAAAAAAGGCCCCAAACTTAATAAAAACAACGTTTTATCACGAAAAACTTTATGTTATTAATTAGGGTAGAGACCAAAGTATTTTTTAATTATTTTTTGAAATTTTTTATTCCTTTCTAGCACGTTTTAATTTGTGGTTGAAAAACCTTTTCTTTTTAGGTCTAAGATCACCTCATATTTTGCAATAGCTTTTCTTCACTTAAAAACACATACATTTGGAAATTATTGTAAAAATCAAATAATTGTTGCAATTTAGTGAAACTTTCAGAACTTATTCCAAAATGACTGAATTTATTTTAGAAATGTTTGTCTTTTAGAAAGTCACCGTAATTTTTTTTTTACGTCTTATACCCACCTTACTTAATTTTATGAAAACTTTAAAACTAGGATAGCTATACCAAATTTTATTTTTTAATTAAATAAAGGAGACTTTGAGGAATATAAATCATAAATTTCGTGTAAAATTTTGAGTATTAACCAATGTTTTGCCAACCATTCCATTAAAAAAAATAGTGTAAATAAACAATCTAACAAATGAATAGTGACTCTTTTTAGTTTTTGTCTATATTTCTGAGATCAGGTGTTATGTACACTATTTACATTATTCGGACTATTGTCCTCATCTTTGTTGCCATATTTATTACAACGTTTCGGCCGTTGTACGCTCCGGCCTTCTTCAGGTGGTTGGAATGTCGAACTGAACCCTTTATTTCACTTGCTGGGGTAGACTGTTCTAGTTCCACGTGCCATGTTTGATGGATGTCAGTTATCAGTTATCTCCTGTTAATTCACCTCTCCAAGTTCTCCACCACCTTCTCAAGGACACATGGCACATTGGATAAAGGCGTTAGTTAGATCCAGTGACAGGGCCCAAAGAGTGTGAGTTCAATACCCAGCGAGTGAAATAAAGGATTCAGACCGAAAATCCAACCACCTGAAGAAGGCTGGAGCGTACAACGGCTGAAACGTTGTGATAAATATGGCGATAAAGATGAGGACAATAGTCCGAATAATGTAAATATTATTTTAGTTGTCAATTCACAAGAACAAAGAAAATGTATACATTTAATTTCATATGTTTAGGTTTTATTCCAAGTCTCATCATCGTATTTTTTAACCATAAACATTGCCGATGACTGAAAGTAGTTTTAAAAAAAGCGGTGTCATGTGAAAAACGGTCCTTTTGAAACTTCGTCTTATTACAGGTACGATTGTCTTTGTTTGCCCTTTCATTTTTTTTTTTTTTTTACAGAGTTTTATCTTTAGCAAGATCAAAAAGTTGATGAAAAAGTAAAAAATTGAATAAACCTTCTTTTTTTTTTCGTGGAAATGGATGAAAGATGCGAAAATT